AGGCGATGAGTCACAATAACGTGGCTGAAGCATGTTGACCAGACCACACACTAGAAGTCGAAGGGACGACGACGTTTCTAGTCGACTTGAGAATGATCCAGGACGGACCGAAACGTCGTCGTCCCTTCAACTTCTAGTGTGTGGTCTGGTCAACATATAAATTATGTATATACCTCCTGTTTCAGGCATACCTAAGATATCAAATTAAAGCACAAATATCTTAGTTACTTCAGTTTAATTATTCATATGCTATCGAAAAATTTTGAAAGTTAAAAGGACATCTTCCCACATTATTATGTGGTAATACTGTGAATCAGTTAACTTGTTCTGTATAATGTTATCTTTACTGAGAGAACATTTTGCAAATTCAAAATTACTTTTTATTAGCATAAGATTTTCATATAATAATCCGATATCACATATTAAACCATCAAACTCCCTTGGTAGGTCTCATTTTATTGAATAAGTTTATAATATTCATTTTTTTTTACCCAAGTCCGCCATAAAATCCAATTTCAGGATTTTCGAAAGGTTATATCTGAAGGTAAATAAACCCTAATTGAATCCTCTGGATCTTCAATATACTGTATTTACGTTCAAATGATTTGTCAATTTAATTTACTTTTGACCTCTCCCCATTTTTTTATTTATCGGATTCTTAGCTCTGATGACAGGATCTGTCACCTAGGCACTCTAGGTAGTAGGATCTGTCACCTAGGCAATCTAGGTGGCAAGATCTGTCACCTAGGCACTCTAGGTGGCAAGATCTGTTAGCAAGGCACTCTAGGTGACAGGATCTGTCACCTAGGTACTCTAGGTGACAGGATCTGATACCTAGGTACTCTAGGTGATAGACCCTTGTTGCAAGGGGTCTGTATACATTATTTTGTTGCTGTGATTTAAAAAATTCTCTAGTTCATTTGTTATGTTACTTGATGGGGTACCCGGCTGTGTCCGGGTCTCTCTCCTTACACTGAACCTCAACTCATCCCCCTCTCTCCCAATACCCCCCCCCCTTTCTCATTTCTCTTTCCCCTATCTCCCCCTCTTATTGTCTACTAAAATTTTCCCCTCTCCTCCAGTTTCTCCTCTCTATAATCTCTTCAAAATTCCTCCTCTAGCCCCCTACCTCACCTCTCCTTCCCATTCCTACTATCTACACTCTCTGCTACCCTTTCTTTTTTCCTCTTTCCCAACATGAACCCATCCCATCTCCCTCTTCCTCCCTCTCTCTCTCTTTTTGTTTTTTCTCTCTTTAAATCTCTCTTTCAGAAAATGTAATATTACGAAGCACATAAAACTGCTAAGAACTCTGAGAGAAAATTGCCGTTTTTTAGTCTTTATTAAAATCACAAGGGGGGTCGTTTTTAGTTGTTGATATTTCTTATAATATGGCACTAGGACTCACCCCCGACTGGCTTATGACACATTCATATAACACAACCTTATGTGTATAATAGAAAAAATGCGTGAGGCAAGTCCCAAGTCCATTATACTTTGGCCAGACAAGCATTATATTTAATAGATAAGAGATATATTTATTTTAATCTTCATTTATTTTTTGTTCTCATCATACATCTATTCATTATAAAACCCTACTTTATGAAGTAATTACAAAAGTAATGTTTTAATGTAATTTCTTAAGGTCTTGGATTAAGATATATAATATAAAGAAATCCTATATATTTGTGATAAATAACAGAACTGTATTTTTCAGAAACCTGAAGTGTAGGTGTTCTAAGAGTTAAATTATACATATTTAGCGAATAAAAATATTATATAAAATAAAAAACATTATAAAAGAGTTAATTAAAAAAGTTTGAAGTTTGTTTTCAGTTATTTGAGTAAAAAAAATTTCAATTATGTACTAAGAATATTAAAAATTGACATAATTCGATTTTGGTACACGTTTCATTTTTACATTGATGGTCAATTATAGAATTAATCAATTCGACTAAAATTTATGCAACACCTGATAATTATTATGCTTTATTAATTCCATATTGACATTTCACAGACCGATGGCACAAATGATAATTAGTGAGAAAAGCTCATTAACCACTAAATATGTCTAAACATGGCCATGTTTTAGTGTGATTGAATTTTTTACTCTCAATAAAAAATAAATTTGGTGAGTACGTGATTGATTGCACTCACGTGAGTGCATACTTTTACAGTTATGAGTTGATATAACTTGTTGTTTTATAACAAGTTATATGTTTTTGCAGTCTCCGTGGTGTAGTGGTAAGACACTCGCCTGGCGTTCCGCGAGCGCTATGTCATGGGTTCGTATCCTGGCCGGGGAGGATTTACTGGGCGCAATTCCTTAACTGTAGCCTCTGTTTAACGCAACAGTAAAATGTGTACTTGGATGAAAAAACGATTCTTCGCGGCAGGGGATCGTATTCCAGGGACCATAGGATTAAGGACTTGCCCGAAACGCTACGCGTACTAGTGGCTGTACAAGAATGTAACAACTCTTGTATATATTAACAACAAAACAATTCATGTTATTCTTTCGCTAAGAGGGATAGTAGTTTAGTTGTTAGGGATAATGCTTTGGTCATTAGACCTTCTGCTGTTTCATCTTGTTTTTAGGTTCATGAATCAATATTACAAATACATTGTTTTATTATACAATTTACTGATTGATTGATGAAGATTAATCCATTGGAGAAGTGGCATGGGCATGAATAGCCCGAAATCAAGTTACACGTCGCTTTCCTGCCAATATATTCAAGAGTCAAGGTAGATTGAATTTAAAATTTACGAAGATTGAATGAAGTCAGAATTTACGAAATCAAAGAAGATGGAAAATTACAAATTTACGGGATCACTATAACCCGTGCTACGTGAAAATTTTGCTCAAATCTATGTAAATTTTGATCAAAATCTATGTACATTATAGAAACCAATTTGTATAATTGTATAATTATGTATAATTTAGATCCATTTTTAATTGATCAGTTAAAAGTCGATTTGAGTGTGATCAATGATACACATTTATCTGAATAATACCTTATTAATATCCTTGTATCTCATTAAAGACAATGTCTCTCACCTCATATCACTTCATGCCTATATATCCACACCACTGAATTGTAAATCCATCTTTCTGAAGAAACATTATTATATACAAGTTAAAGAACTTGACGAAATTCCTGTCTTATCCCATCCTTCGGGTCTAACACTGTCATATATATTTATATATATAAATCCCCAAGTATTTATATATCAAGGTACAATCCAGGGAGGATCCACAATGTCTACTCTGAGTACTCTTTATATTCATCTCCGAGGCTATGGGCCCCTAAACTTGCACCAGAGGAGGTACCCCCTTTTATATATATAAATATATTTTCACACACACTGCGGGACTCTCTCACGTACTCCAGCATGCGACATCGAACATATTATGCACAAAAGTTTAATTTTCTGCGTCTTGGAGCTGGAGATAAGACACATGGGACTGACCCGAGGCATAAAATGAACCAGATCTCCGTGGAGCAGTGAGGGACGCCATCTCATACATCACTGACCAAGGGAAATTCCAGTTCGCAGACCTGAGCTTCGTGCCTCATATTAGGTTTTATTTTCGCTCTGCATATAACATTTCCTCTCGGCATTTCTCTCCCCGCTCGAGCATTAGGTCACATTTATTATTTCTGCGCCCTAGAGCAGAGTCAGAGCATTCACAGCAGACAGAGTACACCAGTTAGTTGTTGGGTTAACTATTAATTGTGAATAAGGATACACACTACTGGTAGTTAATAAATAGGACGTTTATCTCTAGATATAATTCGCATATTACACGTATCTTGCCAATTACACACTCAATCACTGGATCTACCACTACGACTTGTCAAAGTCAGACAACCTGCAGCCTTACAGTGATTGCTACTGATATCACAGGAAGTCTGAAGCTAGTCCAAGTGAACAAATCCACAAGGGCCGTGACGAGGATTCGAACCTACGTCCGAGATCATCCCACATGCTGTCTTAATCAACCAGTCTCTTTTACCAGTCCAAGTGTCAACGTATGACCGACAAGCACTAAGGTGGAAGGGTTAGAATGGTTCTACACCTTACGCCTCTACTTCAGAAACACACAGAAATCACGCTAACGTGATATGTATATATATATATATATCAAGAAAGGGGGGTAAAACTTGCCTCATTCCCTCATCCTTATAAACTTGCTGTCACCATCGCAAATTGTTTCAGTGTATAAAATAGTTTTACGTGTGGAGTTTTCATACAAATATCACATTTTTTAGGGGAAGCTCAATAAACTAGATAATCTGTCAGTGATGGTAAAATGTAAACAAGTTCACGCAAAAACATTCACAATCTCTATTGCCCATTGACAATTCAGGGCTTTCCTGTGATGGTCTTCGTGTTGTTGGTAGGAAAGACGGTCCTTTGCACATGCACCCGGAAGAGGGAACTGTCCTTGATCTTCATCATGTGGGATCAGGCCATTTAATACCTGAATCAGGGGCCACTCCACGGTCTCAGTGATCGTTCTCCACTTGCATGACCTGCGGAGGAAGATTCATCCTTTCAAAAGACACTCGGCTTCTCTGTAAGATAATGACTTCCAACTCAAATGTCTGATCACTTTGCAGGTCAACTTGGATGTCCTGTGGATGATCTTTAATGCTCGCCTTTACAAATGCGAGGGCCATTAGCTGTTTCATTAATGCAGGTACGTTCTTGTCCAAAAAAAAAAGGCTAATTCATTTAACTCCTTTGATAAGATACCACACATGACCGGTTAGTTTTAAGGTTGCTGCCTTCGAAATTGCTTGATTACTCTCTCCATACCCCACCAGAGACGTTAAGAGAAATAGTTTATTATTTGGGGCACAGGTTGCGAGAGAAGCTCTCATCCAGACTTAAGTAAAGCTGAATAGTGAAGATGACCTTCTCTCTCAGATCAATCTGTTCGCTGCCAGTGAGGTTCAACTGACCTCTGAGGTTGAACTTTTAGACTGTCGATGACATTCGAGATCCGGCGTGCCTTCTTTGTTCAATGTTTTCAGCGGAAACAGGAAATCGAGGACCCACTCAATGCTAGCTCCACAACATCATGTCCAAGACCGGACACTTGCTGTAAGACTCATCATTGCTTTCCTGTCACTTGTTTTGTTCTGTCTAAAAGCAGAACTTCAAGATAGTGTCACCGAGGCAATCTATTTCTATTTTAATCCTATCTAAATTTTGATTTTTTATTATATAAATTTTTTATTATCTAATTTTAATCCTAATCTAAACCTATTTTACATGGTGGAGTTCCTCCAGATTCTTTGGGTCTGGGGGAGTTTTTCAGACACCAAGCAGAACGCTTTGAAGGAAACCAACGTCGTCTATGCCTTTAAATGCCCACTTGGGGACTGTAAGCCTCAAAGAACTCAGTATATAGGCAAAACAACAAAGTCTCTTTCCAGGCTACTAACAATGCATAAGCAACAGGGCTCCATCAAGGAACATATAATCTCTTCTCACAACCAGACTATCACCAGAAAAATCTTAAGAAACAACACAGAAATCAACGATAGGTACAGCGATAGCAGGCGGCTCGACATCAGCGAGGCTCTACACATCAAAAAGTCAACACCAGCAATCAACAGCCAATTAATGCACAACTATATTCTACCCACTTCAAGGCACTGTATGGGCCAATAGGCCCTCTGCTGTTACTTCCATTCTCATGTACCCACCTCACCCAAAACCTTTGTGTCACCTCATCCAAAACGAATAAAAAGCAAGATTTAGGTCAAATGTATCATACACAGTGTATCAAGTGTATCATAAGTGTAGTGTTAGGTGTAAACAAGTCTTTGAGAATGTAAGAAGCCCTTACGAAACGCTTCTAGACGTCAAACCATTAATAAAAAGGAATTTTGGAGAATTGATATTTCCATTACCACCGACAGTGAAGGAAAACATAAGAAATATTGAGAAAATTCGTGTTAGAATTATTAATCTTACTTTTTCGGTCATATTCAACAACATATGTTTACAAAAAAGACTGCTACCAATATATATATATATATATATATATATATATATATATATATATATATATATATATATATATATATATATATATATATATATATATATATTAGTATGGGCACAAAACGAACACAGCAAAGTTAAAAAATTGCAAATTTAACCACAATTAACTGAGATTATTTTTCAGGTGAAAATGCTGTCGGGTTTGCACCTTTCGTCAGAGGTGACAGTACACTAGAGACTCTCATGACAATCACTAGACACTCTCATGACAGTCACCAGAGACTGTCATGACAGTCACTAGACACTCATGACAGTCACTAGAGACTGTCATGACAATCACTAGACACTCTCATGACAGTCACCAGAGACTGTCATGACAGTCACTAGACACTCTCATGACAGTCACCAGAGACTGTCATGACAATCACTAGACACTCTCATGACAGTCACTAGACACTCTCATGACAGTCACTAGACACCGTCTTGACAGTCAAGGATGTATTCTCCAGACATTAAAAAAACTATTGCATGCATTCTATACATTAAAACCCTCGTTGCAATCGACTTAATTACAAAGCACAGAAAGTATTGCGTCATAGATCAGACAAAACAGCGAGTTTTCACGATATTCTCCCCTGAACGCCACAGATTAAAATCTGAAGGGAAAAATTAATTTCAAGTTTTTAAATGACGTTTAAAGCATCATAAACTATAGTAGTGAAAATGATAAAATATATGCAAGTATGTAATTTTTTATTTTTTTTAATCAAACTGGTTTCAAAGTAAGTAATCAGCCAATTTTCCTAACATGGAAGTACTTATAGAATCTATGTGGTCGAGGGAACATATATGTTTTGTGATGTGGACCGCCAGAAGATAGAGACCTTTGCTTGAGCCAGAAGTAGAGAGGAGGAGAAGAGTAAGAGGTGAGAAAGGTGGAGAGAGAATGTTAGGAAAGGAGAGGTAGGGAAGAGAGATGGGAGAGAGGGGACGGAGGAGCGAAGAGAGAGACCCGGGTACAGCCGGGTAACTCCAGTTGAATATACGTTCAGAATATTAATTGTTAATCAGAGGCAACAATTTAGTTTGTAATTGAAAGATAAAATTCGTTAATAAGAACATAATTATGTTCTGATATAAACCTAATCTATCCATGGGTAATCCAACCTATTCTTGGATAAGCATACCTAACGTATCATTGGATAAACTTAACTTATATTGCAATAACTATAACTTGACCAACCTAGCGATAAACCTTCACAACCTATCCTATGATAATTATAACCTATCCTAACCTATCCTGGGATAAACATAACTTAACCTATGCTGAGATTAACTAAACATTACCTACCTTGAGGTTACCTTGAGGTGCTTCCGGGGCTTAGCGTCCCCGCGGCCCGGTCGTCGACCAGGCCTCCTGGTTACCTATCCTTGGATAAACATAACGTAACCTAATTTATACTAGAATAAAAACAACCTATCTTATCCTTTCCTGGGATAATCAATACCTAACGTAATCAATCCTGGGATAAACAAAGCCTAACCTAATCTATCCTGGCATATACATAACCTTACCTGACCTATCCTAGGATAGACATAACTAATCTATCCTGGGGATAAACATAACATAGCCTAACCAATCCTGGGATAATGATAACCTAACCTACCATATAAGGCATCTTTTCCTGGGATGCACATTACCTAACTTAACCTATCCAGGGATAGTCAAAACACACCTAAACCTGAGAAAAACCTAACTACTCAATGAATAAACAACCTACCTTATCCTAGGATAAACATAACCTAACTTATTCTGTGATAAATTCTAACTCATGCAAGGGTTTAACCTAACCTAATCAATCCTGGAACAAGTATAACATTGCCTTGAATATGTGTGTGTGTATGTGTGCATTATTGAATGTGCAATATCGACATATTTCGTGCATTTTGCAAGCGCTATATTGCAGAAGAACAGGTTAACACTTTATGTAGAGAAGCCGGGCAAGGAGTCCCGTATTTCAAGGGTTTGGTCTCGTCTCCCGATCACAGAGTTTATCAAACCCAAGTTCAGGAAATGAGGACTTGAGAGCGAGGGAGAGAGAGAGAGAGAGGTGAACGGCGCTCTCTCTGGCTAGACCTGTCAGCCCACACTGGCCCACGGGTTAGGAACGGCAGGATTTCCGAAATAGGCAAAGTTTAGGCTAGTCGACCGGTAGGATTGGCCAACTTTGGGAGCGTCGAAGTTTGGGATTGCTACAGTCATGGGATCGTTGGGATTGCGGGGCAGGCCCAAAATGACTAACATAATTCAGCTTTGGGATGGTTAAATATTTTGGGGGTTTATCTTTGGGATTCTCCCAAGACCAATATGTTTGATTATTCTGGGATTATTTTAGCCATTAAGACCTGGAAGGACTTAATGGCTTAAACATCACGTACATACCACCCCCTCATTGGCACTTCTACATACACCCACTAGTATGGGTGTATGCACCCTGCATACACCCAAGGGTGTTGTATGAGTCCCCTCATACAACACCCTAGGTTCTCCTCTCAAACACCTGCACGTCGCACGTCTCCCACACACATGTGGCTCTCTCGCCAGGCCCGGACACACCTGCCACACACACTGACCTTCACGCCACATCTCCTCATGTTGGAATAACTTGAGGAACATGCACCCATGGTGGAGAATAACTTCACTCACTATCAACCCCCTTCCACCACATTGACACGTATCATGAACTTACCCACTACTACCTTGCTTCACCCTCCTGTACTACTACTACTACTACTACTGCTACTAGTACTACTACTACTACTACTACTACTGCTACTGCTACTACTACCACGACTCTCTCTCTCTCAATAAACAGAACAGCATCTTGTTATAAAAGTTTCTTAAGTCTCCAGTCCAAAATTAAATTCCCGCAGTGAAGGCGGACGTTCATTAAAAGAACTTACTAATTAGTCGACTTAAGAGAAAGAGAGAGAGAGAGAGAGAGAGAGAGAGAGAGAGAGAGAGAGAGAGAGAGAGAGAGAGAGAGAGAGAGAGAGAGAGAGAGAGAGAGAGAGACAGACAGACAGACAGAGGGTAAGAGAGGATTATATATAAATTTAAACATTAATAAACACGTTTAATGCCCCATGTATATGGATTTTTTTGATGGTACATTAGCAGAGTATTAACTTGGTATTGTAGAGCAGAGTACAATACAGCAGAGTATTGTAGTATTAACTTGTGAATATATTTTTGTAAACATGTGGACTACACAATATTATTTTCCTTTATAAACCTGTTTTAAATAATTATAAACCCGCTTCACGATTCACTAACAGTTAGTCATTGGTAATCACCTGCCAACAATCGGTATCATCCATCATCAACCATCAGCAACACCAATCATAATCCGTCATTATTAATCCACCACTCATTATTCTCCAATCACCAATAATTATCGCCTAATCATCATCAACTCTGGACAATTCCCATTCATTTTTGCCGCTCATCATCTATGTTTTATTTTTTTGTAACTTTATGTTTTTCTACGTGAAAATTTAACAAAATTTGTGTTAAATTTTCTTTGTGTGTGTATTTTCTATGTGTCATTTTCTACGTGTTAAATTTACAAGTTTTAGAACCTTCTAATTTGTGATTGTAACAGGTTAGGGTTTTAGGCTGGACCAGAGGGGTTAATTGGCTAGACCAGATGGGTTACTTAGTTAGACCAGATGGGTTGACTTGAATTTTCATGCGTCACATGACCTGATGATTATCATACCATATCATACCTTAGGAGTCATATCATACCTCATTGTAACAGTTATTTGTTCATTGGTAGTTATTATTTTTTATTACCAATGATTAAAAATCATAGAAACAAACTGTTATTCCCTTAATACTTTGACCAGGACAGTGATATTTTGAAATTTACAGATTTCCAATGAGAAAAAGGCGATTCTACGTCTTTAGGTTCACATAAGATCAGAAAAAATATTATATATGAATCATATTCGTTGTATATGGTTAATCCCATTCACGAATCTGTCCTTAAATGTAGTTTCTGATTATGTTCAAAGTCCAGTTTATCCTGGTTGAAGTGCTCTCCTTGCTCCTCAGAATACGCTCCAATATTCTCCTCAAATTCAACAAGATGGGCTTCAAAGGATAGGACTATTAGGGAGTCTTCAGAATCATCAGACGAAATTAGCTCCTGGGAACTCCAGGAATAAATACTATTTGATTTCCGTTATGTGTCCAACATGAATTTGCATATAAGATTTTGACATTATGTGTGCATGTTTAATGTTTGTTTTTACTATTTGTGTCTGCAGGATTGAGTTTTTAGTGCTTGGAAGTCGCTTGTCTAATTATCGATTGTCTCAAATACTTATTCCAGAACTATTTTTCCTCTATCATATCTACTATATGTTTCTCTCATTCTCACACACACACACATCCCTAGGAGGCAGCCAGTAGCAGCTGTCGAACTCCCAGGTACCTATTTACTGCTAGGCGATCATGTGCATCGGTAGAATGAAACTATACCCATTTGTTTCTACCTCAACTGGGAATCGAACCCGGGTCTTTGGACTGCGACCCCCCGACCTCTCTCACTTAGCTGCGAGGAGCATTGTGTGTGTATGTGTGTGTGTGTGTGTATGTGTGTGTGTGTGTGTGTGTGTGTGTGTGTGTGTGTGTGTGTGTGTGTGTGTGTGTGTGTGTGTGTGTGTGTGTGTGTGTGTGTGTGTGTGTGTGAGTTCTTCCCTGTGTAAAACAATTATATAAGAAAGAAAATGCACAACAGCAACAATACTCTCCTTTAAACCACCTCATCAACAACATCATCACCTGAGCGAGGACATTACATCATCATTTAGCCCCCCCCCTACTCCACAACCCCATCCCCCCACCCCACAACCCCCTCCCTTCCTCTAACCATTACCTCACCTCTACCCATACCCCCTACCTCCCCCCCCTCCCCTCACCCTTCCCGACCACTGTAATAATATTATATTCTCCGCTACGAGAATGTAATATTGCGAGAATTATTTTCAGTATATAATAACTTGGGTAAGTTTAGAGTTCATACTTCTTCCTAATAAGGCTAAATATTTTCTAGTATTTTTTAATTAACTCGGAGCGACTAATAAAGTTGTTTAAATTTATTAATGTCTGCCTTTTCTTTAGTCTGTTATCTTCATCTTTTAATTTCTCCTCCAAGGTAACACTTTATATATATTATATATATATATATATATATATATATATATATATATATATATATATATATATATATATATATATATATATATATATATATATATATATATATATATATATATATATATATATATATATATATATATATATATATATATATATATATATATATATATATATATATGTGTGTGTGTGTGTATGTGTGTAAATCACGAATATATTAACACGTGAGGAACAATGTGATAATGTCAGACCATGTAGGAAGGATTAAGGCAGGAATTTCCTTAAGTACTTTCGTATTTAATAATACATCTTCAGAGGGATGAATTTACAATTCGGTGGTGTATATTAGGTTGGAATGAGGTGAGGTGAGAAACAATGTCTTTAATGATATAATGGGATATTAATGAGGCATTATTCAGATACATGTACAATGATACATGTACAATGATACATACAATGATCCCACTCAAATCGCCCTGATCAATCAAAAATGGATCTAGATTATACACTACCAATGTTCAAATTACATGATTTTGTAACATGTATTGCAGATTACAAATGATTTTATGCCTGGTGTCCACACCACCACAGCCCTGAACCCATGTATCAGCACCTATAACAGGGAGGCTGAGCCTTATCACCCAGCCCCAAACAGGCAATTTCTGCCCTGTTGCTTATCATATGGATTGGCGGAAGAGGAAGCAGCTAGCCACAGAACCCCCACATCAGGCCATACAGGAAGAGGATTATATCAGAGCTCCGGGGAACTATGTAGTATTAACTTAACAATTGGGTATATATCCGGACACACAATACCTGTCCAGGCTCTGGTAATCTCGCCAGGGTGAAGGATGGAGGCTCCCAGTCACCTCCAGAAGATAGAACACACCCCCACAGACAAGCTGTTGGAGGCGAATAATTAAAGCCACCTCAAACAGAACAGTTTCCACCAAAGCCACCTCAAACAGAACAGTTTCCACCAAAGCCACCTCAAACAGAACAGTTTTCACCAAAGCCACCTCAAACAGAACAGTTTCCACCAAAGCCACCTCAAACAGAACAGTTTCCACCAAAGTCACCTCAAACAGAACAGTTTCCACCAAAGCCACCTCAAACAGAACAGTTTCCACCAAAGCCACCTCAAACAGAACAGTTTCCACCAAAGCCACCTCAAACAGAACAGTTTCCACCAAAGCCACCTCAAACAGAACAGTTTCCACCAAAGCCACCTCAAACAGAACAGTTTCCACCAAAGCCACCTCAAACAGAACAGTTTCCACCAAAGCCACCTCAAACAGAACAGTTTCCACCAAAGCCACCTCAAACAGAACAGTTTCCAACATATTCAAAACCCAGTTACATTGTGGGGGAAAATATACAGCTCTAATCAGGAAAGTAAATAGCCGGTCGACTTCCAAGCACTAACAGCTCAATCCTGCAGACACCAATAGTAAAAACAAACATTAAACATGCACACATAATGTCAAAATCTTCTTGGCATCCGGTCTAGTAACGTGGATGATGAAGAGACACTGAAGCATGTCACAATCTGCTTCTCTGTCGTAATACATGTCTTTGAGTACTACGGTAAAATGTCCCTAACGTCACTGGTGATCAGAACGACAATTAAGTGACTGTCCCCAGACCTGGTGACACGATCCGTCTCACCATGCAACTAATTATTATTACAAGGAGATCGTGACGACCTCAAGTGGTACAAGACCTCAACATCTCAAGAAAATGGCTAAACTATTTCTCGATGCCGTTGTAGAGAGTCTCCAATGATCAAAACGTTTGCAAACAGCTTTCTGGTTGGCCAATTTCCTGAGGTTATTAAACCCTTTTTTCTGTGGTGCATCTCTCAGAGCCTCTCAATGGAAGGATGGAGGAATCAGACCATTTGCCGTAAGCATCACTCCCCCCACAGCCTCGTAGCCAACGAAGCTGTCAGGAAAGCATCTGCGTTAATCGTTCCAGCTTAATCAGCTAAAGTTTCAGATCGGCAAAGGCAGCTAAGCCTGGGTCCATGAAGCAAGAGTCCATATTAGTAGTAATCTCCCCCTGAGACAATTCATTTCAGAATTTTTACTCTACAAGCTCTCAATTTAATACAACGAGCAGGAGTTCCGAAAGCAGTTAAGGAGAATTTATCATGCCTTCTTTCCTAGAATATTAGATTTTGATGCTCACAATGTTCTCAACCGGCTCACAGGGCGCTTGACCAGGCTAATAGGTCTTATAGGGTATGTACCCACTTTCGCCAATCCACAAGAATAGCTCCTCAAATCCAATCCAAGAGAATAGCTCCTCAAATCCAATCCAAGAGAATAGCTCCTCAAATCCAATCCAAGAGAATAGCTCCTCAAATCCAATCCAAGAGAATAGCTCCTCAAATCCAATCCAAGAGAATAGCTCCTCAAATCCAATCCAAGAGAATAGCTCCTCAAATCCAATCCAAGAGAATAGCTCCTCAAATCCAATCCAAGAGAATAGCTCCTCAAATCCAATCCAAGAGAATAGCTCCTCAAATCCAATCCAAGAGAATAGCTCCTCAAATCCAATCCAAGAGAATAGCTCCTCAAATCCAATGCAAGAGAATAGCTCCTTAAATCCATATCCATACAGCCACACAACCTTATCTTGGATGATAATCATGATAATGACTTTAACGAAGCAAAGGCTGCCAATCAGATTGGGAGAGATACCCAGGGCAACGCAGGTAATCTGACTGGCATTGATATCTTCGTGCATTATTGCTGGTGAGTTGGTAGAGAAGACCCTACCAGATCACATAAGAGAATCAGATGGGATTCATGATTCGAAATTTATTGAAGGAGCCAACCAGCAGTGGGTGGAGAGAGAATGGGAAGGAAAGAGTGAGGAAGAGAGTGATAGGAGAGAGAAAGAGTGAGGAAGAGAGTGATAGGAGAGAGGGAAAGAGACAGAGGGGGGAAGGGATAATGAAAAGGAGAGGGAGAGAGGAAGAGTGATAGGTAGAGTAATTATCACTATTATACTATTATAATGACAGCACTTAGTCATTACAATTATATAGCACTTGGAAAGGATGTGAGGATTAGGATTTAAGATAGGACGGAGGAAATGAATGATGCCTAATGACCTTTGATGGTCGGGGGGGGGGGGAGGATTGGACGCCGACCTGCAAGAAGCAGGATGGAGGAAAACAGAGATATATGGAGGAGAGACAGAGACAGAGAGACACCCATAGAGACAGAGAGAGACAGAGGGTAGGAGAGAGAGGTTATTCAAAGATCGAGAGAGAGAGAGAGAGAGAGAGAGAGAGAGAGAGAGAGAGAGAGAGAGAGAGAGAGAGAGAGATAGAGATAATTGAGAGCCAGAGAGACAGACAAATAGACAGAGAAAGACAGACAGATAGACCTATCCTCCCTCTCATGAACTACCCTGGCCCCATCTAATTCCTGCTTTTCAAACATCTCCCCTCTCCCCCTTCTTCTCTCTCTCTCTCTCTCTCTCTCTCTCTCTCTCTCTCTCTCTCTCTCTCTCTCTCTCTCTCTCTCTCTCTCTCTCTCTCTCTCTCTCTCTCACACACAGAAAATATATTTAACGAAACTTCCGGGCTCGGCCAACTACCTTTCACTGATTACAAGTGGGCCAATATTAGGCCCCTTAATAGAACCAATGGAACAATAGAACAACCCATCCTCCTGTTAAGATGGTACTATTTATAACTATGTGTACCATAGGCATTGACGGGAAAAGAAAAGAGGTACATAGCAGCAGGCACCACAAAGCCAGCCCACAACCAGGGCCCCTCACACCTCTCTAACCCCAAAATCCGATTTCCCCATTTTCATATTACTGGATAAACTCTCCCTATTCCACATTAACTACGTCTCTGTACTCACAAGTTTTCCCATCGTGGGTTATCTCCGCGTCCTTGTCGCCTTGGGTGTTAAGCTCGACACACTTGTATTGAATAGAGGTTTCGACACCCCCTGTCCCACCCCGTCCCAGGGCCTCATCAGGTCCCCCCTCTCTACACCCCTGTGTCAATACCTACTACCTCCCCCTACCTCTCTACATCTTATAATAAATATTAATATTATAAAGTGTCATCCACACTTCCCTGAAAATAAACAAATAGACTCGAACAGCTGTTATAAACTCGCGGTTCGAGTTTCCTAGAGTCCAGGAGAATGAAATAATAATAATAATACAAATAATAATTCAAAATAAAATCTAAATAAAGTGATACATGTAATGTTTGTGTTAGATGTTAAAAACACCCAATGTTTAAAGTGTTTGAAACAGTGAAGCACACTAAACATTGTGTCTCCAATGGGTAAAGTGGAGCACATCCAGAGAACCATACTGCTCTGCACATATTGTGAAAGATCATCTCAACACTTGTAAGCCCATTTTTCACATAATTCCATCTAGCACTCGGTGGCTATTGTGTGTTTAACTTCGTCTTAATCTCTCGTGAATCATCACTTCGATTTCCTTTGAAACTAAGAATTAATTATTGTAACAACTACGAAATTCTAACTGAAATCTGCGCAGTTACCTCAGTCATGGAACCTAATGTCTGGGATCCAAAGAGTGAAAAAAACGTAGCCCCAAAACTGGAAAATAGAATCAACAAAGTAAAAAATAGTTTGTGGAAAGCCAACACAACTCTGAGATCCCACTTGCCACCTGGTTTGCTCTGACATATGGAACCAAAATTTGAATTCGTCCTAACCAGCGGATTCGAACGGAGTTCTGCGTTCGTTAGAGTTTTGTTTAAGAGTATATACTCGTTAGAAATTATTATCTCGCGTGTTGAGAATGTTACTGAGCAGTCTCGTATGTTATTGTTATGAATGTTATTGAGCATGTATGAATGCATGAATGTTATTGAGCAGTCTCAGAAATTATTATCTCGTATGTTGAGAATGTTATACGCTCGATAAAGAGTGTATGTTCAGAAGAAATTTATAGTATCATATTTATGTTTTCCATCGATGGATGAACATTTTTCTACACTGTTCTTCATTAAAAAGTAAAATACTGCACAGATATTACAATCTTAAAAGTAATAATAAGAGGAAAGACTTAAATAATACAATTCTTATTAAAAAAACTAATGCTTTTGTTTAATAATTTGCAGTTAAAAAATAATTTATGAATCATTTACCACAGAACAAATAATTTTTAATTTAAAATTAAACCAAACTAAAATATTTGCTCTGTAATATTTTGGCTTTTGTAAAATACTAGACGAATATTCACTGCCTCCTGAGCCATCTATAAGCATCTCATTCAGGAAGAGTAACAAACGCTGAGATGTCAGCCTCATGCTTCACATGATGAGGGCTCATGATGACATGATGAGGCCTCATGATCACATGATGAGAGCGTCCTGAGGCCCCGGCGACCAATAATACCACTCCAATATCTCACAGTCAGGATCTTAACGTTGAAATATCGGGTGGCGGCCATCTTCCTCCAGTGACCCTAATATAGGTCGACCACGCAGATGAGGCACTCAAGGCTGACTGATGACTTCCTCTTCTCTCGCTAGCAAAAGCGAGAACCACCAGCAGCCCACCCGTTTCTCTCCTCTCGCTAGCAAAAGCCCCCTCCGCCACCACCAGGGAGCCGGTCGGCCGAGCGGACAGCACACTGTACTTGTGATCCTGTGGATCCCGGGCGCCGGCGAGAAACAATGGGCAGAGTTTCTTTCACCCTATGCCCCTGTTACCTAGCAGTAAAATAGGTACCTGGGTGTTAGTCAGCTGTCACGGGCTGCTTCCTGGGGGTGGAGGCCTGGTCGAGGACCGGGCCGCGGGGACACTAAAGCCCCGAAATTATCTCAAGATAACCATCACCAGCCCAGCCGTTGTAAGCACTTGCCCACACCCCTCACCCACACACCCCACACACCTCTCGTGAATATCCATCCCAACCCACCCAAACATCCATGCCAGCCGTGTTAGCCATCGCAGTCCCTTTCAATATCAATTCTCCCTCCGAACCCTCTCAATTCAACACACTCTTACCATCTAAGATACTGTGCAACCCACCCACTTTGCCATTTCTCACCATTCCCTTCCAAAGTCACCATACAGTTGACTCACTCTGTCCTCCCTACTGTCCCAGCAGTCACCTCATCATCATCATCACCAGACTTTCCATTTCCTGTGAGACAGTTTAGTCTTGAAAGTCATGCACGCTAGTGAAGAGACACAGGGGCGCTGAGACACGAACGAGCAGTCGTGAACCTTATCGCTTCTCACAGTTGTAACGCGGGATATCCCAAGGGAATGAGGTCATTGGAGACTTAAGGGACACGTGTGATGGGACGGAGAGGGGGGATAGTGAGATGTTGTGTGAGAGAGGCATATAGAACGAAAAAAGAGG